TTTGTTTAAGAAGTCAGCAGTACCAATACCAATTCAATCACAGCCTTCTGTATATAATGACATTTATACAAAGGCTGACTAGCTCAATTTAAATATAAAAAAGAAACAGTCTTGAAAAAGTGCCAACGTTCTCAATCTTGATCTCTCCCTGGGTTAGTATGCAGCAATTCTGCCCCTCTACCAGCACTGCCCTCATCCTGCAGCTGCTCCAAGGGAGACAGGCCAGCACTGAACTATCTCTGTAGGTAGGCATCTACATGTTCAGCTACTCACACCAGCACACTACACAATCCAATGAGCTCATCTGCTGGCATACAGGACAAAAATGAAGACTATGTAATTAGGGCAGTGCCACCTCCTTACTTCGATTACCTTGAACTGTTGTGGTATCCAACCTTAAATGAAGAACTGCAACTTCTATTTGTGACACAAATGTGCAACTTCAGCTTATGAGTAAACGTTAGATTTATGGGTAATACTGACAGCAAAACACTCCTCCATACAGCAACACAGACCTGACAACATTATAAATGCCTAATTATGAATGGCTTAATATTATGTGTTTGGGACTAATCTTAAACTGATGCTGCTAAACTCGGGGACCTTCGGTGGGATTTGTACTCCCTTCTAACAGAATACTCAAGGAGAATTCAGTATAATAATAACTACTAAGTTATAAAATATCTGGTATGGTAATCACTAGAGACTGCTTCTATTTCTATATTAGTGTAGCTGACAAAGAAAGCATGAGTTGAAATTTTTAACTGATTATTAAAAAACAAACAAGAAACTAAACAGGTTCATTTTCAGCAGTCATCCTGGAGCTCAATTTTTGCATGTCTCTCCCCTCCTTAGGCATCAGTGCTTACACATTAGTCTTCCAGTAACATTCCACAGGTATTTCCCCTCCACCTCCAGAACAAAAGCTAACAATTTACATTATTGTCTGTGCAACTTCAATTGCGTAAGTTTCTCCATCTTAACATACAATTTTATGTATGGAATGGGCAGAGTTTACCTTTAGATAAGTCTTCACTATGAACAGGCAGAAATACTAAGTCACATTAGCTTATAAAATAAGAGCTTTCAGATATCTTGTCTGCCTAACTTGCAAACAAGGCAGCAGATCTGCAGATCACCCAAAATGCACAAATAAGTTGCAATATTGCCAATTTGCTAATTTCCCCTTAGATGCTACTTCAGAAGAGATCATTCTATCATCCAGTGTACAAACAAGGAACCTATCCACCTGATACAAGAGTTACAACTATTATCTTTCAATGTACACACCTATAATGGTGAATATCTTCAAAAGATTTTGTATTGTTTATAGCAAATACACACAGGAAGCCTTCCCCTGTTCTCATATATTGGTCCCTCATTGCACTGTATTCTTCTTGACCTGCTGTATCAAGAATATCCAAGAGGCAGGTTTCTCCATCAATTACGACTTGTTTCCTGTAGGAATCCTAAGAAAAGAAAAAAAACCCATAAACCTTGGTTAAACACAAACAAGTAAGATTTCAAACACCTATAACTCAGAGGATATTAAAGTTGTTCACTAGTAATTGAGCATGACTGAAAACACTGAAGAGTTAAAATCCAACTTTACAGGCGGGCGAAGGACAGTAAGAAACTAGTGTCCCATATTTACACGGATACAGCAATCCAGAAGTGGAAAGAGCACTGAAAGGACATGTTCTGAATCTGTATTCTGAATCCTCAGTGAGAAACTTGTAAACCTGGTTTTAAAAGGTTTGACTTTGTTTAAGTTTACTCAATTTACCAATTTTTTAAGTAAAATTTGACCTTCATTCCATGGATGTTCACGAAAGCCTTGTGCCACAGCAATGTGCAAAATAATAAAATATAAAGAGTTCTCAAGAAGACAACTCCAAAAATCTACGCCACTGAAAAAGAAAACGAAGTATAAAAAGGCAGTGTTTGGGACAGGAAACTTGTTTTGTATGCCTAAGGAGGTGCATATAATGATACTTGTTACTATCAGATGCACTGACATATTTGAAGTTTGAGCTTTTTAGCCAAGACAGACCAACACAGAGTCATCCAAAAGCCCCGATTAGTTCACAGAGATGCTGGAAAAAATTACTTCAATGCTATCAAAGTTTTCAGGTCACTGATTGAAGTGGCTAAAATCTGCACAAAGTCCCAAGTAACTAAATACTTACGTCTATTTACAGCTCTTTTTGGTGCTTATGAGTGCATTGTTTCAGCGATAAGAACATCAACATTACTTTCCCAATAACTCCACTTTCCATAAACATCTATATATTCAAACTAAAGCCATGTCAATAAGCTTTAAAAAATAGGTCATTGAGCATTGCCATGAATTACTGTCAGTAAACAGTACTAGTAACAAATCAAAGGTATAAATGCAAAATGTTGGTATTACCTTTCAGATCCTTTAGCTAGAGATTAACACACTATTGTTATTGTTCTTTTTAACACTACATAGAAGTGAACCTAAGCTACTGGGGTGGGAATTAAAGAATTAAAGTTGCAATTCTAGTCAACTTCAAGATTAATTCAGAATGACCTTCCTTCCTTTGTACTCATCTCAAGGCACAGTGCACCTACTCCTGCGCACTTTCTATCTACCTGTAGCTTTACAAAAGGCTCTCTTCTTTCCTGTTGCTCATGCTAAAAAGCAAACAAGAGATAATTGTATAGAATCAGTATCTTAAACTAAACAAACTCTGTAATCACACATTTATCTTGAGCCTGGATGACATTTAGCAGTATCAGGTAAAACAATATTGACTGTTTACCTTAAAGATAAAAGTTGACTTCCAGTATGATTTTGGAAATATTTACTTCACAGAAGTGCAAATTCAGCATGCAAGTAAGAAGCAGGTAACTTACTTTAGAAAGATATAAGCAGTGTTTAAATATTGATACAGCCGAGACAAATACACAAGCTCTGGTGTGTTTTAAAATAATGTGAATATTCTACTTCATTGCTTACAGGGGTGGGGGGGGAACAAAACAAAAGACAAAAAAAATCCCAAAGGATGCATCTTTATTCCAATTCACTTAAAGTCAACAGCAGATCCCCCATATCCTATGAACTGTGTAATACCTTTATCACAGTTCACAGCAAAGTACTAGAAGAACTCCTAGCACCATACTAGGCATATTTACAAAGCTTTCATTTTCTCTACTTGCAGTTTGACCACTAGTTTAAAAATTAGAAAAACAGTTCCTGAAAAGCCTGTATGATTCCTTTATATCTCAGCACTTCAAAGGAAAAGAAATTTCCCTCAACTGAGCTTTAAACAAAAGCTTTAAGTCATTTTAATCATTTTTAAGAGAAAAGAAAACCCCTTTTAAGAGCTGCTGGCTTTAGCACGCCTACCATGTTAGCAGCAGTAGCAAAGATGCACCAGAATAAAGCACAGGACGGATACAAGAAGGAGGAATGATTTGAGATTATATTTGTTTTGCCCACTCTGGAGAGAAAATTTTGTCACTAACTAGAAAGGGGATTTGAGGCGGAAGGAAAAGACAGACATGGGAGAGAAAATTCAAGCTTATGATTTCCTTCCAAGTTACTGAAATAATAAACATTTTGCTTTTATGCTTTCCCTGCCCCATCTCCCCACCCCCCAAAACATCAAACCTGGAATCACATTTGTCACTGTAGGAAAGAAAACTGAAGCCCCCACATTAAAAGCCCGGAGTACTGGGACCCCCACCCCCACTGTGGTGAATACCAGTGTAAACATACCCAAGATAAAAGCTGTTTACTTAAGTGTTACTATTACAAGTGGAAAAATTATCAAGTCAAGCCAAACAGAATGTAGAATGCACCAAAAAGAGACATTTTGCCACTGTAGGACTTGGGGCACTTCTGCTTCAACATGGAACTGCAGAACCCAAATGGCCAGACTGCGCTTCAGCAATGAAAAAAACCAACCTTCTAATGTATAAATTTCATCATTTATAAAAATCCAGGAGTTTTACTGCACGTTGGAAGATTTGCAGTAATAAATGCAATGAAGAGACATCCAGTAAAAACAAAATGCAAGCTAGAATTTAATTTCAAATTAGTACCCGACTCCAAATATGAATTTGTAATTTTTCCCCCAGTATACAGACTCAGCATATCTACATTAAAAATTTTTAATTTCCTTAATCACTCAAACAGCTTTTATTGGCCTTTCACAAGCCATAAAAATCAGCGTGAATTATGCTAAAGGAGTAATAATTCCACCTGTCCACAGGCACTGAGAAAAAAGTGTGATAGGAAATCTCAGCTATGGAATTTATCTTAAAAAAACTGAAACCAAAACAACCCCACACCACCCCACTGCCTAATAAATCCCATCTAAGCAAGTAATTATTATTTTGTAAAAATCCACTGTACTAGTAATATCAAATTCAAATATCACAGCTACTAAGACTAAGCTATTGCTAAATACTGGTGGAAGTTTCACAGGTACACAGGTCATTTAAGAACACAGACTTAAATATCAGTATTCCTAAATCAGTCGAGGGATTTTGATAATCCAATTGAAAAACCTCTGACAGGCAACTAGGAAGGCTGCTCTCTCTCTAGGACATTTAAAAGATGACATATATTTAGCACTAAAACATGCTGAAGCTTTAAAAGAAAATTAAATTTAAAAAAATTAAATGATGTTATTCCACAAAGTACTGCAAAGATTTAACAAGCCTCGACCAGGAGAGGGCACTAGTCCAACTGGTCTGTCTATCAGGCCAGACTTACAAGGGTTAGTGTACACACAGTTAAAAAAAACCCATTTAAAATTGCTTGGCTATAAATCTATGCTTGGCCATCTCCTTCAAGTAAGATATGAAGTTGTGAAACACATATAAAGTATGTATATTTGAATAACAGTAGCCACCCAAACATGGACTCATTCTAATTCCTCCCCCTGCTCCCTGTCATCTGCTACGCTCAGATATAAGTAAATAAAATACTCCAGCAGGCCAGGAAACTTGGTGTTTTCCAAACAACTTATTTGTTGAATCATTAAGTCTGTTCCACCAAAACCAGCAACAACATTAACACTGTGAATGCATCTGTGATTAAGTAACTAGGATATTTTTTTTTTTCTTCTCTTCAACTGCATCATGTCTTCACAACATGAGAACTTTAGAAGGGCTGAGATCCATTCTGTTCATCATGGGAAAGATTTAGAATTATTCAATAACTGTGTAGCTATGGAATCCACTATAGATAACAAACACTGAACTCTTCTGTCTACCCCAAAATATTTAGTTTGGTTATTTATCTGTGAAGGAAAAATCAGTATTTTGGCAACAGCTGTATGGCAATGAAAGCAACAGTAGTAAGTGTGACACAACAGCAGTGACATTACTGAACTGTCTTAACTGCTATTATTTACCTGTCAAAGCAACGTTACCATTATTTCCTCATAGTGCATAAAACCACTCTACAGGTATTGTTCTTTGATCAGCCCCTACCACCACAACTCCATCCATACAGGAAGCACAATCAAGCCACCCTCCTCAAATGAATGGGATCCTGCCCAGGCAAGGACTGCAGCATTTAAACCCAATTACAAGTCCATTCTCTGGAACCCCTCTAACACTCCAAATCACAGACCACTCCTATTATAACTGAATAACGTCTTACCTACACGATTATCCTACAGCACTGTGAGCACACAAGGCAATTTACCACACAGTAGGAAGATACAGTCTCCATCCTCAAGGTCTCAGAATTTAAAAGACAAAAACGGCAAGCAGTGCTCAGACAAGAACTCGTAGAGCTGCAGAAGATCAACAGTATTGCATGCAACAAGTTGCTGATGCTGGTACAACCCACGAGGTTAAAGGTTTCTTTCTTTCCTTCTTTCAGAAGAACATACTGATTCTGGACCACACCACAGCGCTGCAGTCATCCTGCACACTACCCAATGAAAGCCACAGTTCTGGGATTTTAGGTTCTTTCCATAAGGAACTGTATTTTCATTTTATAATTTTACATTAAAACGCATTTGGAATTCCTCAAAACACTCGGTTTGTTGATTAGCTAAAGGCCTCAAATGATTTAGGAATACTGACATTTAAGTTATTGTGTTCCTAAATTGTGTACACAGTTTTGGCTTTATAAGACAACTTCTAACACAGAATCTCCACAGTACTTTTTGTAATGCATAAACACACCTCTAACCTAAGAGAAACCCAGGTGATTACCAACAAGCATTACAGAGACCAACATGCCCCAGAGTTCCTTTTGCAGGAAAAAGTAAAATGTCATTCTGCTTGTTCCCCTCAGTGAGTTTTGTGTGTTTTCTGGTTTTTAAGCGTGTGTCGGACTATTGTTTTATTAAGATTTTACATCTTAGTAATCTGAAGAGCTGCCTTCCTAGTGCAAGTCAAACACTCTGCCTCTCTCCATAGGTCTATTCACAAAACATTCGACAAGGACAGATGAGGGTACCTGTCCACGCAACAGACAGACAGGAAGACACACAGGCACATTAAGGTAAAACTCAAACTCAAGCCAACACATCTCTCTTTGGGGCACATTAATTCAGGCATGCACTCTGCTGCAGTAAGACAGCATCCCACCATCTCAGGGCACTGGCTCCTTTCACTTCTGTCTACCTGAAAATGACTACATAGCTGTTTTCCGAGTCACCGTTTTAAGCTTAGATTTAAAACCTTGTGATTCCTTAAAGTGAGCTTGGAAGTGCCTCGTTGTATAAACATCATAAATGAAGTTGTGAGCTACAGAGCTCCAGTGCTGGGAACATAAAAATCTTGGGTAAGTTATAGTGCCATTTCTTCTTTTATACGGTCTGAGGTTATTAAATCCAATGATCCACAGGAGATTTCAGACAACACCAGTATTTTTCTTATATTTAAAAGGCAGAGCTTGCTTGCTCATTAAAAACCTTTAAAATATCACAACTTTTTACGCTTAAATACTATTTCAGATTTAGAGGAACTGTGCCATAGATTTCAAGGAATCCACTACAGCAGCTATCTTATTATTTTTCTTTTCTAGCTACAAAGACATGCACTGGTCTGTTTCAAAACCAAAAAAATAAAAGTCAGGCTCCAGATTTTTGCCTCATTCACCATAACATTCCAGAAGACATTTCTCACTGTGTGAAACTGATAGGAGCTGAGAAAGCTTGACACATACATTTCAGAACTACAAATTCTCCTTCTTGATATCAAAAAGGAAAGTCACATTTAAGAAGCTGCATGCAAAGCCATGAGTTTTGCAAGCATTTTCAAGTGAGTTTGGCATGTATTTTGTCACCAAGATCCTAAAAACACACACCCAAACCGTCCAACAAAACATGGCAATTAACACCATACTGTAATTGATCAAAATTGTTACTTTTTTACCACAGCTGTTGTTCCACAGCCAGATCAAGAAGCGCAGTGATTTCCTCTCCTGTGCTGGTTCGATGCTGACCATTATCTTTGATCCCTTTTTAATATAAAGCCTTGTTCTATGTTTTTTGTGGTAACTGCTCAAAAGCAAACAACTCCCATTATTACTGATAATCTCTCTTCACAAAAAGTACAAGAAGAAATCGCTTACCTCTATTGTAGGGTCATATTCATCCACAAAGTGATTCTGAATTAGCTGTATTGTCAAGGCGCTCTTGCCTACACCACCAGCTCCAACGACAACAAGTTTATATTCTGTCATTTTTTAGCAGACCTGATGACAAAGAAATCAACATTAAGCAGAAAGAGTCAGGCTCCAATTAAACGAGGATGCTGCTGGTGGGTTTTCATTCAGTATCACGTTCCTTTACTATTACCGGAAAGCAACTCCCTCCCTGCAAGACAAGACAAGAAGCTCTGTGGGAATGTTATTTCTCCAACTAAATGGCACAGAGGAAACGCAGCGCGGGCACTGAGGCGAAAGGCACCGACTGCAAAGAGATAAAACAGCAAAGATACGACAAATTTTGAAAAAGGTTAAGAAAAAAAAAGCATTTCTGGTGAGGTAAAGATGTTGTTCCCCGCCGCTTTCTCCCACAGCCCCCGCGGTGGCTCTGGGGACCTCCCGGATTTTTACACAAGC